TTTCTCTTTCTTTCTTTTTTCCTAAAGTGAGTTCTATTAGCTTTGTACTCTAGGACTAAGAAAAATATTTTCACGTAATTATTTTAAAACTGTCACGACCTATTCGCGTTTCTCAAATTCGTGTTGTAAATTAAAAGGAACTGTTGTGTTATGAGATAAATAATTAGGATTATCAATTGAAAAAATTCGCAATATTCGACAGCATAAGAAATAAATTATTGCATTAAGTATTGCATTTCTGCAATGCGTGTTAAATCGCATACAAATGTTGTAATTGAATCAACGAATCGTATGCCGTGATTTACCACTTCATTATTGTAATAAACTAAGTTGAAAACGAATCATCCAGAGTTAAATTACCAGATGAATTTCTGCTATCTGGCGATTGCATCGCAATATATCGTTTACGTAAGATCTCTTGTAAGTCATTGCACGGACTATTTACACGTTTCATTTGTAACGGCCGACCCCCGGGAGATCTAAACATGCAGAAAATTATGCGATATCGTGTTATCGATCTATACTCTTTTCTCATTTTATTGTTTCATTCTACTTTACCTTGCAATTGGCCTCAATTTGACTTTACCGATATCTTTTAATATGTCACCCATTGATTTTTGAGTATTTAATGGCACTTTTTTACGATCTTCAATTTTGTGATCTTGTAAACTTGCTCTCCTAGCAATATGCGGTGTGGAGGGAGGCGGAAGAGGTGGTGGTGGCGGTGGTGATTTAAAATCTTCTTTCTCGCTGGACAACGATGCAGCCGATGCATCTATAATCAAGAATATTTTCTTTTCTATGAAAATATATATATATCTTTCTACTTACTATCTTTAAAAAGTTATTTCATAAATATTCAAATTTATATAAACACGTATTACATAATACTTACATTGAGATTGTTTACTACTTTTAACTATTACCGATATCTGTTCTCTGAGCTCTTGTAATTCTTGTTCTAAAGCAAGCAACCGAATTTCTGAACCAAAACTAATTGGTTCTAATAAATCTGGTCTGCTACCTAGCAACCTACCACTATAAAAATAACAGAATGATATTAATTACGTGTTCGATAAATGTAACATAATTTATTATAATAATCGTTATAACAAACCTTCCAGGTCCATAACCATTAGAATCAACATAATCACTGCTAGTTTCTTCATTGATCATAGAACTTGTCATAGAATGCAGAGGTGTTACACTTACATAAATTTTTGGTGGTGGTCTTAAAGGTAAAAATGATCCAATTCTGCGAACAATACTCCTTCTTTTTCCATAATATTTAGGTGCTTCACCCATCTAAAATAAAAAAATGGTTGAGTTATTTTATGTTTTATTAATAAAAATAATTAATTGTTATACAACTCCTAATGTTACGTCCTAATTGAAATGTAGAAATTTAGGTTAATAGTAATACTTGTGAATAGGGTACAATAAAAGTTTACCTTTCAAATTTATAAAATGTTATTCCGAAAATGTGTTTCTTTTAAGTTACAATTCCAATATAATACATGAACACGTGCAAGATATCTGGCTGGGTACATCAGGGTCATTCAAAATTTAAAACAAAAATAACTTCTTTACTTGACGCAACATACATATGACTGCACAACGACAGGTTGTTGAAAAGCAACGTAACCAAGCGAAACAAAAAAGCCATAAACTATATAATATAACCTAGAACTTCGGGAGATCTGAGAGTTTATCTCATATATATTTCACAATGCATGAAATATAAGAACGAAGTAGAACGTACTACCCTAACTTGTAAAATCTGCAATTTCATTGTCATTTTTTAAATGACTTTACCGACCGTAAGTAACTTTTACTTCGTAGTAATTTTTTTCTACATAAGTGGCGAAAGTGCATTTACGTTTAAAACAGTTATTTCACGTTCATCATCCATAACGTAACAAAGTCAGATAAATAACTAACATTAGGTGCTCTTGTAGATTTGTGCACGTATAATTTAATAGAATATTTTAATCTATAAGTAACATGTGGAAATTCGTAACACGAGGTATTCGTGAAACATTGGAAAAACGAGGATGCCGTACCAATATTTATTCCCAAACTACACAAGAAAATAATACTCCAAATGAAATTAAAAAAACATCGTTAGCATGCAATCAAAAATTTGTCAGAGACAATTATTCCGCATATAGTAATGAGTTTTATGGATCCGCAAAATCCAAAGGTACTAAAGATAACAATGAAGGTACTAAATGGAACACTAAACATGGTTGGATCGATGCAGTTAGCTGGGTAACTATATTAAATCTTTTTCATTTCATTTTACTTCTTATGATTGACATATTAAATGTCAGTCATATATTAATAATAATAATGATTAATAAAATTATAATAAATATAACTTCAATAATTGAATTACTTTAAAATTTAATGTTACAATATTTAAATCTGATTAAATCTATCTCATACCTTATGTCTTTATATCTTTATCTCTGACTTTATGATAACACGATGCGCAATTTATAATTTATTTATATTGAATGAAATGTAACATTTACTTTGTAGAAAAAACTTAATTAATTTATATAGAAAATAAATATAATAAAATTGCTATATTCAATATGCGTAGTTATATTCATTATAAACAATTGAATGAACTAGTCAAATGTATGTTTACATTTATAATAATTAATAAACATGTATTTAAAATGAGTGTATATGTGCGCGTATGCGTTTGATTAATAATAAAATATTTGCTTTTTTTTTCTTTTGCAGTCTAGTGCATTAGCAGTTGGTTGGGTAGTGGGCCAATCTTTGTGTTTTCATAGAAAATTCTTTAATAAAGATAAATATGAATTATTCAACTTTGAAATCTCGCGATCATCCCAATATCGCTTATCCTATTTCCTCAATGGAATATTAAATTTACATCCACGAAATATACTACCTGTTACTAATTGCATAGATAATCCTAATAATTATATTAGTAAAGAAAACACTAAGGAAATAGAAGCTAATAGCAGATATGCTAAACCTTTTGGGCCTATCACAGTCGAAGAGGTAAGAATGCTGTTGCTAAGAAATTATATACTCTAAAGCTTAATATTACCAACTGTAATATATAATGAGATTAAAAATGTGATATGTACTTAACTTTAATTTTATTATTTTTAATTACTATCAACTATATTTAAATTTTAATTAAAAATCAAAAATGTGTGTGTGCATTTTACATTTGATATGTAGAAAATACTTATTTATACACTTATGTGTCTATAATATGTTTTATGTAATAAATAAATAATATATTTACTTATTCAGAAATATATATGTAATATAAAGATTTTATATTAATTATTTTTTTTTACACTTTTAATATTTTTTATTTAGTATTTTTGTGTTAAAAAATATATATATACATCATTATATAATACTTTTATTAATTTTTCTTTTAATATTGAATTCAAACCGAATATTCCTATTCCTCTATCCTCTAATATTTTCTTTACATTTAATTTTATCTTAAAAGTAGAAAAAAAATAATATAATATAGAAATAACGAATAACAGATTTTAAAATACGTAGATTGAAATGGTAGAAAATACTTATTTTTAAATACTTTTTAGAAATCTATGCATATTATTATTATACTTTTAGGCTTTCAATGAAGCCGTGGATGAACTCAATAAAGTTAATAATGTACTTATGGGAGAATTCGAATTGAATTACGGTATAAAAGCACTAGATGAAAAGCGTTACAACGACGCAGTTAATCATTTTTCAGCTGGGGCTAAATTGTCATCTCCTGCAAGTATGTTTAATCTTGGCCTATGCTATGAGTTAGGACTCGGAACGTTAGTAGATTATGCGAAGGTACATAACAAATTTAAAATGAACAAATAAATTATATAAATAATTATATTAGGAAAGAAAGAAATTCATAAATCCATTGTTTTTAGGCTGCAAGCTATTACGATCATGCAGCGAAACACGGTCATGCGGATGCAATGTACAATTTGGGAGTTTTTCATGCCCAAGGAAAAGGTGGTCTTGTTTTAGATCTGGACCGAGCACGTTTATATTTTACCAAAGCTGCTAAATTAGGTCAGATTCAAGCACAGAAAGCACTCGAATTAGAAAACATTGCAGATCAATCATCAAGTAGTAGCGATAACATTTCAATCGCTTCAAGTAACGATAATTATTCGTTAAAAGTCGATTATTTTGATCATGAAAAAGCTACTGACAAGTTATATACAAAACTAAAATATAACGAACAGTTGCATAATGAGTATAACTTAAAAACGTGTGAGTATCAAAACGTACAAAAAATTCCAAATGATACAGAAATATTGTTAAATTATTTAGGATTAACAGAACCGAATCTAGTGTCAGTTTCAAATCATTTGGACGATTATAGAGTACAATGTTAAATATTTACGGAATTACAGGAATAAACTATTTAAGTACAATGCGATATAATCGTATAGTATTACGAAATTTATATTAAAGAGAAAAATAAGTTACATATTTTTCATACATTATCTAAAGATGTTTTCTTTCATATTTTATAAATATTTCATTGTTTTATCATCGGTTTTAATCATAGCTCACTAAAGTGTTGTTAGAATTTTATGTATTCTGTAAGAGATTACATAAAATCATTTTTAACTTGTGTAAACATTTTTTAAGATATACTTTAATCTCTATTAAGTAAGTGTGATTTGTATGTAATTATTTAAAAATATACTGACATTGCTGTGTTACACGGTGAATAATATAAAATTTCAATGAAAAAGAAAAAAAAAATATGATAGTGCTGTATATTCAAAGAGAATGATTTTATCTGATAGAATAAAATTAAGAATATTTTTTTATATGTGTAAATATATTATTTACATATTAAAAAATATTTCCGATTTTAATGATTATTTTTTTATCTTAAATATCATTAAACCTATAAACGCGGTAATTCTTTACGTATTTAAGATAAAAAGATTCTAAATAAAATAAAAATCATATTAAAAAAAATTGCACCTTTATTAACAATACAAAATATTTTCTATTATCACATTAAATTTGAAGTAATCATTGTATTACCAATGCGCATCGTGTATATGAACAGTTTTTTGTATAAATAATGAATGACTGGCATACAAACTTAGCTTAGAATCCGCATCCATCCATCTAACATTACAAGCATCATCTCCAGCCGTTAAAGGTAATTGTCCGAAAGTATTATTATCTCCGTCGTGAAAATTTTGTGCCACAGTTTCTATCCAAGCATTATCTGTATTTCTAGGATCGTCGACATAACCCTTGAAAATATCAGTACCATTGGTAAAAAATAAATTCATATTTGCTTCCATTTCTTTACGCTTGGCAAAATCATTTTCTAATAAATTCATAGCTTCTTCCATAAACTCTCGCTTCAACGTAGCAGAAATCTTTTCTCCTGGATCTACCATACCTCCAGGTATTGCCCACTCTTTGCAATCTTTCCTCAAAATAGCCACAAATTGCAATATAGGTTTGTTAGTAGTTTCATCTTTTTCCAACATATCTTTATCATTTCTTTTCCATCGTGTAACAATTGGATCTGCGGCATGATTTGGTCCCCAACGACCTAAAATGCCTCTTCCAACTATACCTGTTCTACCAACAGGATTCAAAGGATAACCATCTTCGCTTATAACATATTCTCCCATGTAACTTCGTCGATCAACTGATCCTACATAAAAAGAGTAAAATACCATTAAAATTGATAATTGTATATATATATATTTCTTACTATCAATAAAATTTCAAGTTTATAATAAAAAAATAAACAAATATATAATTATTGTTTTGTATATCAGGAATAATTGTTGTACCATCTAATGCATTCCATTTTGGTTTGAAACAAGAATCTTCAAGTACTGGATCTGCCCAAGGTTTATTTAATATATTAGGTGAAGTATGTTTAACTGGTTTATATTCAGGATATTCTACATTCCATGATATTTTGTTATCTTCTACTTTAAATCTTTGAATATCGGTATGCGGATAAAATCCTTTTCTACATTTATTATGAATCATTTTGAATAATCTACTGCACATATGTATAAGCTTCACTTTTGTTCTACTTCATATAAAAAATGTGTGATTAATAATATAACCAATAATTTTGTCTTTATTATACTCTAATCGAATTCTATGTATTTTAATATATATATACAGAATGTTCTATAGCCGGTGGTACAAGCAAACAGGGGATAATTCTACATAAAAAACTAAATGAAAAATATCAAATCAAATTTCTTTATATAAGGGTTTGCTTTTGAGAAAAATAGGTTTAAACATTTGTCGAGTACATGTGAACTTAACTGAACTCGCAATCTTGAAAATTAAAAGTCTTGTTCGATAAACATAAAAGTAGAATTGATACAAAAGATATCATCATACTAACAATATTTGCAAACCTATTTAAAAACCAAACATGTTCTCCAAAATATCGGAGATTAAGATAATGAAATTCGTTAAGCTAATATCGAATTGGTTACACTTTATTTTTATTTTGAATATTAGTCAATTTTAAATTTTTCAGTTGATTTATTTATTTATTTATTCATCCACACATCAATAACCTTCAAAAATATTCCCTCACCCTACAGTTTCCGTTTGCATATAATTTAGAACAGAATAAACGTTCGTTCAGTGACTTATACATTATTAATCTTGACTCTTATAACAAATTTCAATTACATTTTACGAGGTAAGTTTATCCAAGGTATTTTAATTTTCTTTTAAACATAAAATAAAATATATAAAGAAAATATTATTATAGAATATGCGAGAAAAATGTGATTGATTTTCAAATTCAAATTTTCAAATTCTCGATGTTTCTATGACACACACATGAAAATAACTCTAAAATTATACATATATTTTCTTTTTGTCCAAATAAAGTATCAAAATTAGAATTAGTCTATTTATTGAAAGGAAATATTTTTAAATCATTAATTTTATTATCTTATTTTTTAATTTTCAGTTTTTCTTTTAATTTTTATAGTTTAGTATTAATAATAACACATATTTTTCAATCAATTCTTACATACACACGCGACGCGAACGTTGTGTGTATATATATATATATACATACATATTTAGGCCCTGTAATAAAATATTTCGATTCTATTTAAGTAAAAATAAAATACTCTGTGTATTTCAATTTTTTACACACTCTCTTTTTTCGTCTTTTTTTAAACACACGTACAAAGTTTACTAATTGTGTTAAAATGAATATGATGAACAAAAATGATCTGTCGGTAATTGAAGTTCTCAAAATGTGGGATGGGTGTACATCTATGTATGTATGTATAGTATGTCTCACATTTTAAAAAAACGTGCTCTCTAAGTGATTATGAAAAAAAGAAAAAATTGCACTTTAATGGAAATTGTTTGTTTGTTAAAACTAATCTATTATTTTTCATTATTTATTTAATTCATTCGGAAATGACTATTTCATTACGTAAAGTTCGAAATGCATGCAAGTGTGGATGCGACGAGCATTGGATTTGCCATGTTAAAAAAAGGTTATGTTGCACTGTTTTATTATATGGATAATATAGTTTATCATAGATTTTTATAATAATAATAATAACGGTTATTAGAATTTCATGAAGATTTAAATTTGGATTAAATGACAAACTTAATAAATATAATTACAATAATAATATTATTTATAATAATAACATGAGCACATGAAGGGCACATGAAAAGCACATGAAAAGTACATGAAGATCACATTTATTACGGTCTAGAGATTTTATACACAATTATCTTATGTAAAATAATTGTTATATTATTTATATATATATATATATATATACATATATAATCCTTAATTATAATTATTTNAAATTGATCGATTTAATTATTTGTTTATTTATTTATTTATTTATGTTTCTTATTTTTTTTATGTACTGTTTTATATGTATAGCTCTCTTTTATTTTAATATTTAATATTAATTACCACATATAAGATTGTGTGTCATACAAATAAGCCATACATTTTTACATTAGCAAATCTTTATCTATACGAATATATATATATATATATATTGTACATATATTATTAATTTATTTTTTTATTAATTAAATCACGCGGCGCGAAGATATTAAAAATGTTTTATTATATATGATTTTGTTGTCGTTCTTTTTTTTTTATTTTTTTTTTTATTTTTTTTTTATTTTTATTTTATAAGTAGAGTGAAATTTTTTCTTTCGGTAAGCTCGTCAAAAAGCACTCCAACGGATCGATAAGGGATTTACCAAAGAGGATATGTTTTACTTGCGAGAAGGATCAACCAGAATTGAGCTACGAATAATTTCCATCGAATTTACTAGAGACCCAAACCCTTCTTCCTTCATCATCTTGTCATCCCTTCATATTGGCAACCTTTACTCTTTGATATTAAAATCATCATCTGTTATCGTAAATACATTTCTATACGTTACTTAAAATATACACACTAATACATTTACGCGATATCTTATTATTTCATAAGATTTCGATTTATATTTTCTTTCTTTCTCTCAGATGATCATTATTTTGATCTTCGATAAAAATAAGATTGTCTTATATCGTAAGGAAAGAAACATTAAGTTGATTTATAAATAGACAGGATTTCCTATAACTATGAAAATACAAAGGGGATGATTTAACATGAGAAACAAAGTCGATAATAACTTTTGTTTTTCCTTTTCCTTTTTTTTAGATATATATATACATATATATAAAAAGTAAATTCATTAAATAAACTTATACAAACGCGTTTTGAGTGTACTCGCGAGATAGTTCGAATGAAAAAGTTGAACGACGAGGAAAACGTTGGCAAAAGAACAAATAAAAAAAAAAAAGGAAAAGGGAAAAAGATTAAGGGTAAAAGAGTAAATGTAAAAAAAAAAAAAAAAAAAGAAAAAGAAAAATTCTCATCGTCGTCAGGAGTGCAAGTCAAACACGTCAAACGCGATTTAATGAAGTTGAAGTTGAATGAAAAACAAAAAAAAAAGGGGAAAGGATAAAAACTGAGAGTTTACCTTTTTCCTCTCTCTCTCTCTCTCTCTCTCTCTTTCTCTCATTCTAACATATACATACTCTCTTCTTCTCTCTCTCTCTCTCTCTCATATGCACTCTTAAACACACTAATTTTCCTTCTCTTTCTCTCTTACATTCTCTCTTAAATTCTCTCTCTTTCTCTTTCTCTCTCGTATACATTCTACACACATATAATCTCTCTCTCTCTGTTTTTCATTTTCTTACATGTGACTACATTAGAAAAACGTTTTTTGCAGTAACTAATTATATGCAAACTTAATGAGAATACCCCAGACAAAGAGAGAGAGGGGGGAGGGGGAGGGGGAAGGGGGAAATAGGGAGAAAGTTTCTCGTAGAAAGGTTGATCGTTAATTTAATGAAATTGATTCGCTTACCTTGAAATAATATATCGGAAAAAGTGAACTTCATACTACCCCTGTGTATATACATATATGTACTCGTTAAACGTTTCATTCCTAATTAACGAACCAAATCATACTATATATGTAAAAGAGTAAAAAATAAAGTGAGAGAGAAAGAGAGAAAATTATACATAAAATATATGTGGTTTGCTTTTGTTTTCTTTTTTTTTAATTAAAATACTAATCCTCGAGAATTGTAATAAATTAAAAGATTTTGATTAAACGATTGTGTTACACGATACGTGATATTTGTAATTAAAAAAAGTTATTTGTTAATTATATTATATTTTTGTTCAATACTTAATAGTTTTTAAAATGAATTTGATATCTTTAACACACAAAATTCTATTTATTTTTTATTTTTTATTTATGATTTTGTGCTTATGATTATGCTTATTATTTTATTGATTTTGTTTACGATTATATACATAATATATATATATATATATATATATATATTAGTGTGTCAGTATTTGATAAAAAGATAATAAACTAATGTATAATATGTAGATCATGTTTTATCGAAAACGAGTAACATTTGAACGTATCAAATTTATCGAAAACCTAATGAATTATATTTTTTGTTGTTGTATTGTTCTTTTATTCTTTAAAAAAATAACTGACCAGAGCCATATGCTTATCGTCAAGTTTACGCATTTGCATACGCCTCCAAGATGATCGAAATACATACATGTATATATACATATCATACATAAATGTGTGCACATACACGTAAGCGTATACATATACAACGAGTATTTGACGTCATTGGTCCTTTTTTTCGAAATCACCTGAGCGAAATAAAATGTTTCAATGAATTTCTAAAGAGAATTTATTCTTTTGTTTCTTAATTAAAAAAAAAAAATAAAAGAAAAAATAAGTGTACAATGAAATTAAAATATGATTTTTTTTCTTATTACAATTTTTCAAATAACTCTTATATATTATTTAAATAACAAAATAATCATCTTACAGTATGTATAATTTATATACACGTATATAACATATACTCGTGCTTTGTTTTTCAATCTTTGATTACACTTCTATACAAAACACTTGGACAATAAATCTCACACCTCTATAAATTATATTATAGAAGAAACAACAATTTACATAATTGATAAAGTAACTCATTCTCTCTCTATCTCTATCTCTATCTATCTCTTTCTATCTTTATGTATCTATCTAACATTGTCTATTCTCTTCTTTGAATACGCAAAGACCTTTCCAAACACGTTTGAAATGACATCGTGAGTTAGACACAATAGAAACAATAAACCTTTTGATGAATGCATTGAGAATATACATAAGTACGTATCTTGTTAGCACAATTCTATGCTTTTTCCAATCACGTACCACAATGCTCGAATAGTTTCCTTTTCTTAATAATATATTTCAATATATTTAATCTTGAAATATATAGAAACTTTCGATTACTTCCTTTACTTATCAATATAAAATAGAATATTTTATAGTTAAATGAACTATAATATATCTATTGCAATATTTATAGAATATATTTGTTCGTTTTCATATCAAAAGATATTAATTATGTATGTTTATATGTGTTTAGGTGTTATTATATATAATTATCATAATTTTATATATATATATATATATATATAATTATTGATTTAATAAATGATTATGTGTGAAATAGAGAATAACACGCGTAACTTTGAAAACGGATACTGTTCTTAACGAAAATATTATTTTTGTCGTTAACGAGCCTCTAAATATCCATTACGTGTGCACAACGTTTATTATTCCAGAAAGAAACTTAATATGTACAAGAGTAAAATAGAAAACTTTTCAACTTTAATACTAAAGTATTTCTTCAAGGACGTAAAAAATACTAAAATAAAAATAGTTAGAAAAAAGAATGGATATGATAAGAATAACTACACAAAATTTATATGGCACAACTTAGAACATTTTTTACAATGTCTTATCATTACTTTACTTATATTTTTTCTCACATTTTTATGTTGTAATATAATATTATTATTTAAAAAGCTTCGAGTTTATTAATTTTAATTTAATGGGTAACAATATATAACAGAGTGATAATTAATGCTGATAAAGATTTACATGTTCATATAAAGGAATAAACGTCAGGCCTTATTGGATATTACAAACGCGTTAGAAGATGCGAAGACTGGAATTAATATATAACATAATATTATTGCGAATGGGATTAGTGTTATCTTTATATAATTAATTTATACATTATAGGATGATTAGTAATATTTAACTATTTGTATGACATATATTTTTGCGCATTCGATATATATATATATATATCTTAAGTACTATTAAGTACGAAATTGTTCATTTAGCAATTAGAAATATGTTATCAAGAATTAATAAGTTTAACGCATAAGTAACAAAGAGCACATATATTTTGTGATCGGAAGAATTAAAGAATTGACAAGAATCTGTATTATTACACATGGTATACATGAAATACAACAACAGTGCAATTGTTTCTTTATACAAAAACACTGGAAGTACTTATAATAATAATAACTATTATAATAATGCATAAAATGCATTAAGTGAAGACAACCTGTTATGAATCTAAATTCTTCCAAAATATGCTTACTTGTTAAGTTTTAGATACATACATTAAAAGTCAGTTAACCATGACTGAAATCACCACTAAAGATCTACAAGAATTAGTTTTATACTTCTCTAAGAATAAATATCAGACTAAAGATGAATCGGAAACAGTAATTATTTATTATTTTGTATTATTATTGTCTATGTATCGGGGCTTCTCAAACATTTCCATTTAGCGACTTCCTTTACTTAAGCTAATATTTTTGCAACACCCTTGATATAGTCTTTATACTATCTTCTTTTTCACTATCATAAACTCACAAACATATTATACGTTTAGTGTTGCTAAACTAGTTTTGAATTCATTTTTGATTATCACACATCCAGGAATTTTTTATATTTTGCTACAATTTCTATGACCCACACTTTGAGAAGGCCTGATATATATTGCTATTTCATAATTAGTCACAATTGTTTGTTATTTATTTATAAAAACTCGAACAATTGTTTTTTTCAGAATCAAGCTATTATGCAAAGATGTCTGCTTCTTAGCGATTTAGATTATACTCATTCGGTAATAAGTAATCATTTAGGTGAACTATGTGGACATTATCCGAGTCACCTTATTCTATTACAAAATAAAAAGTCCAAAAATCCCACTACAGATGATACACCATCGACATCACTACCATCGACATCACTGCCATCAACAAATACAGAGACTATGTGTGATAGCATGTATGATCCTATTAAATTAAAGGAATTAATAAAAAATGCTAGATATGCTAGATGTCGTACAAGATTTCCACTGCCTGTAATACTTTACAATGGTAGACATATATGCAGATCAGCAACATTAGCTGGTGGACCAGAAATTTGTGGTAGATTGGGAATAGACTATTTATTTCAAAGTAATGAAAGTGTACCTTCTTCTGTTGATGAACAATTAGATGAGGCAAGTGGGGTACAGCCAAAGAATTACGATTGGCAATTATTTGACAAAGTTAGAAGTCAAGACATTAAACTTTTGAAGACTCTTAATGTAGGAACCATTATCGATTTTATGGTGGAAAATAAGAAAGTTAAATATGGAATGAAGTAAGATTTCTATTTCATTTAAAATATCTTTTTTTAACTCTGCATGCAATTATTTATGATATTCTATTTTTAATACGATGAAAAGCTCATTTTCGAAACTTTACAATTTTTTTTATTTTTTGTTTAACATTTGCATCTTTTTCTACAAATAAATTAGGAATACAATGCACATTTTTTCATACATAATTTTGTATCAATACGTAGTGATGATATATAATTTGTTTAATATCCACAATTTTGATTACATTTGATGAAATAGGAGTTTGTTTAAATTGTTATTATAATTATACCAAAGAGTATCACTAACTTGTTTTTTCACAGACAGTGTAAAGTTTCATAATAGTTAGCATAGCATGTACAGTCTATTTTACTTGTAAATCCACTTTTAGAGGCCCTTAAACAGAGTTCTTTTGTTCGATACTCAGCGTGTCTTCTTCAGAGAAGATAGATAAAGAGAAGAGGTATTCTGGATTCGCCATTATTTCCTTGCCATATCCTGGTTGTGAGTTCTTCAAAGAATTTCGAGAGAATAATTATTGCGCCAAGGGTTTAGTATTCAATTGGGCTCAGTCTTACGTGGACGCACAAATCTGTATACCCGAAGATACAATTTCTTCTCAGTTACATTTAAAATGGGAACACTATCAATTTTGGGATCTTATTAAATTAACTAAAAATTATTTAAGACTTATTTTGAAATATTTAAATGATAGTAGTAGTGGATTGCTGGTTCACTGTATTTCAGGTACTAAATAAAAGTCTTAGATATTTAAAATTTTTAATAACGATACCCTTGATGTATTATTTATTAGAATTATATTTTCATTACAGGATGGGATAGAACACCTTTATTTATCTCGTTATTGAGAATTAGTTTATGGGCCGACGGTGCTATACACACATCATTGGATGTTAATCAAATTCTTTATTATACAATAGCGTACGATTGGTTACTTTTTGGACATAATTTACAGGACAGAATAAACAAAGGAGAGGAAATATTTTTCTTCTGTTTTTATTTTCTGAAATTTATTACCGACGAAGATTTCAGTATTAATCAACATAATAATACAAAAAATTCTTCTTCGGATAGCGATCCACAGTTGGATAATTTCTTGTATGATTCTGAATCTGTCAGTTCCAACTTAAGTCTGAGTAGTGGGTCTAGCAAAGATAGTCAGGATAATCCACCAACTACGTTTTATAGTGAAAGCTCTAATCAAGATGATAATAATGTTACTGGGTATATATCGATTTTTTTTATTATTTCTCGCATAAGATAATTTTGATTTAACTTATCTTTTGATATTATTATTTAATATTGAAATAAATCTATTGTGTTTTACAGAAATCTTGCACAATTAACAATTCAAAGTTCTCCTAGTAAAGAAGCACAAGGAGGAGGATATCGATCCTCTTTTCCCCCTAAAAGAACGTCTCCAGTCGCTGTACCTATAGGTTGTCGTCGACAAAGAAATGAATCAACTTCCTCTGGTGGTTCATGGCAAATGATATCTGGAACTGGTAGTTTACGTGGTTCAACAACAGCCCACACATCTATTACAGAGGGATCTAATTCTTCTGGCTCGACTAGCAAAGGTTTATTTGAAAATTTTTTACATCAAGCTCATGGATCTAGTAAAGCAATATTGGAAGATGACGAATCCGTATCACAAGTACAGTAAGTTATAAAGTTTTAATAAATATTTTTATTTACTTATTTAACTCCTTGCACTCTCTGTAAAAACGCATAAGTCTTGTAGCAGAGCTAACGGGTCAAACATAATCATAGCACCAAATATGGTGTGCAGCTCTGTGCATTAAATCATGATGCAAGGGATTCAATATATGTGAATATATAATAGATATAAATGTACGTGCGCATATTTTTATTTATGGTTTAACTTATACGCAATATGTAAATTATATTTTTTAGAACTCGCAAATATAAACTGCAGTGTTTAAGATCAACATTTTATGATGCTTATAAGCCTTGTGGATTTCGTATGAGAGAAAATTCTGAGCCGAGAGGTTTAGGTAAAATGCTAAGTGATTTAACTAGCTTAAGTAGTAATACATAGATATTAAATATACATTTTTATATAACTAATATGCCATTGACGCGTTCGCTATCATACTACGAAGAAGATATTCCAAATCTATGACTTATTTTTTTGAATTGATTGATGCATAACGAATATGTTGATGAACGACATGTGACTTCAGGGTTTCAATTGGAATTGATGTGTAACAAATAAATGACGCTTGTGGCGAACACGTTAATCATTTGCCGGGAATCACATCATTAGTTTTTTCATCATTGATTTCTTCTTTTAACTCAAGTAATTTTTCAAATCATTAAAAAGAAAAGGAAAAACAAAATAATAGAATATTTGTATATTATTGTTACGTAGATAATGTATTATTAAATGAAAAATGGTGTGTATACACATAATACAAATAAAAATTAATATTTTTTTATATATTTACAGTATATACATACATACATATTATATATATATGCATATACGAATCTTCTTTGTTTTATAGATTTGTAGAAACATTTGAAATATTTATTATCTAGCCTAGTTCTCAATCTCATTTTTAACGAGTGTTACTAAATACTTGCACAATACAGCTTTGTCACAAAAGAAATATTTTTAATGCTATTTATTTATAAGAAGAATTACCAAAATTCATCTTTTTTATATATATATGTATGTATACATATATATATAAATAAGAATATTTTATACAAGTTTCTATAATTAATATATTGTATTATAGATTCATTAAATATACGATTCTTTGGGGTGGAACATTTTCTCTACAAAAGGGACATTGTGGTTTATTGCGCAACCAATTACTAATGCAAGGCCAACAAAATATGTGACCACAGGGAGTTGCAGTTGTTGATATTGCTTCAGTACACAACTGACAGTTTCCATACACATCCGTTTCAGTCAGTTTTATATGTTCTTCGTTATTCCTCCGCTGCGATTCATTTTGCCATATTTTTAATACAGATTGCATTAAAGTTACGATTCCGAGTATCCTTAAACCCCAGCTAATTTTATCAGCCGATGGAGTACCGTAAACCTTTAGAAATATATAAATAAGTTACCAAAATACAATAAATATTATTCATTAATATTTAATATTATAATAATAATATATAATATAATATGCAAACAATTTACCTTTGCATAATCTATTTTAGTTAATCTTTTACTTAAACTGTAATATCTACCAGAGATATAAAAGATACTTTTATGAATTAATATGAGTAGAGGTATTATTGACTGTAATCTTGATAAAATCAAATTGAATAATTTAACCGACTGTTCTGTTAATTGATTACCAGAATCATTAACGTATCTTTGTAATAGACCCAATCCTCTTAACAACGTTCTTTCCCCAAAATATTCTAGTATCACAGCCATAATCCTTGCCTAAATAGGAAATCTCATTAATTATTATGCTTAATATAATTAAGTATTTATTAATATATTATATGAATATGTACACTCAAAGATGGAATTCTGTATGCTTTAATATCAGCCTGAACAATTCCGGTATACTCTTCTCCTAAAGTTTGATTACCCATTCCGGTTGTGAAAACAAAATATATCAGTTTAGCTGATATATCAGAAATTAAATACCGAGATAGATTTCTGTAATTCTTAAAATCATGCAATATGTCGGAAAGCTTTTCTTGCAATTGTAATACAAAATCTAAATCCCTTTGATGAGACCGAAGTATTTCCGCTTGATTGGCACATTTTAATGTTCTTTTTTGAAAATTCTTGGACATGTTCTTATCTTTACTGGTGTCCATTTTCTTTATTAACCTGTATAAATAAAAACATTTAGCTTATATATACACCTTGCATTGCGATCTTTCAAAACTACTCGCATTACAAAAAAAAATATATATCATAACCTTATAAATTAGATTTAGATTTCTAGATTTGCTCATACAATGAGAATCGTATTGAAAAATATAATAATGTTGAATATTTGTAATACTTATAATTAACCTAATTGTTTGAAAATATTATATTTCCAATTGTGTTGAGATACAAATATTTAAGACTTTGTACTTTGAATTATTTGTTATTTTTTTCTTTAACAGCTAACTTTTTATTACTGGAATAATTTTATACAATATGATAATTTTTTTTTAAGTTTATGCATAGAATGGTTAAGTTATATAAATGTATATATGTGTATATATATTATTCATCATGAGCGAAATTTTTTCAAAGTCTTAAACTGAAAAAAATTAATTTTAAATTACACAAGACTAATTTCAAATTAAAAATGAATTCGTTTAAATTTTATAAACGCTAAAGTTTTTAAAAATATCATTTTTGATAATTCTGTTATAAAATATGTGAGTCATTGATGAGTTTGCATTTGCATACAAAATTTAAAAAAAAATTAAATTAATTTGCATTATTTTTTATGAGCAGAAAAATACGAAAATTTAAAGAATAAACCTTATTTATTAATTTGAAGATAATTTAAAAAATACGTGGCTCAATAACGAAAATATTTTAAAAATTTTCAATGGTATTTATTTATCGATATAATTTCGTTGACATAATCTTCCTCTACTTCAATGCACTCGATCGTGCGCAACTTTCGAGAAGTATTTTTATTATTATCTCAAAAATCTGTTTCTAGAAATTCTTGAAAATATCTAATAAATATATTTCGTCATAGTCAGGGATATGTGGCATTCTTTAAATAAACTTTTCTAACAAACAACACGTGATAGATAACTATTAAAACATTAAGGTTATGCATAGAATAAATGTTACCACAAGATATGTCGGTAAGGTAGAATGTTATGGTCATCTATGAACGAAATCTACGAATTACATAAAATGTATCTAGTGAGTAATCTTTTGTGTTGGCTACACAATTCATCGATATTTCTGTCGAAACAGTATTGTTACAATCGTTCAAAATAACGTATTTGTATAAAGCAATATTTTGTATACTTTAACTCGATCATACATAAATAATATTAAAGTTATTAGTTCAATTTAAAAACGTATGTATTTGTTAAAAAGTATTGTAAAAAAAAAAAAAAAGAATAAGAGAATATAGAAAAGAATAAAACGGTAGACGAGAGGGGGAAAAAAAAATCCCTAGAACAAATGTACCAAGAAACGGGTTGCGATCGGTAAAGAGGAGGAGAAAGAAAAAGAAGAAGAGAAGAGGAAGAAGTTCATCGATTGCATCGCCGGGAGAATTAGAGGAGGGCAGGACGATCGTTTTGTATAGACAGAGGGCTCCGTAGTGGTAAAGAGCAGAGAGACATCGCCCTAGATAACGGTAGAATTGTGCGCGCTGGTGTCGCCTTGCTGCCTCCTCTCTGCTCAGCTTCTGCTCTCGTCAGTATTTTTGCGGTGAGAAGAAGAGAGAAGGGAAAAAAGTGTCAAAATCGCGACGAACAATTCGCTTTGGAACATAACGAAAAGAAAGAGCCCAATTAAAGTAAGACAAACTAAACTTCAGTCCGGTTTCAAGTTAGCGAGTAATCGAGAGAAAGAAAGAGAGACGAGAGAAAGAGAGAGGGAGACAAAAAGAGACTTCCAGCTCATAGTGCGCGTGTGTTTTTGTGCTTCTTGCGTGTGGGTGTAGTTTGTTCGTCGCGTTCGTCCATCGTGCGTGCGGCGTGCCGTGCATGCATGCGCGTGTGTGTCGTCCGTCCCCGTTTGTCGTCGTTCCCCGGTGGTGACGAGGAGAAGGTGGAGCACACGACTAGGACAACGGTGGTGGGCAAATTATAGTAGTAGTGTAAAAAGAAGACTAGGAAAAATACCTAGGGACATTGCTGTAACGTGACAGGAAAAATATATTACGAAGATAAAGGAAAAAAAAAGAAAAAAAAAAGAAAGGAAGAACAGGAAGATAGAAGAATCTAATCTAACTACCGTGTATAGAGAGAACGCGAGTGGGGGAATTCCTTACAACAATATATATCTTTATATTTCGTTTCGCGTTTCACGCGGGTTCCACGCTTGACACCTTCTTCTTCTCTTTTCTTTTTTTTTTGTCCCTCCTTTTTCGGTTTTTGCCATCATTCGTTACTCTCTTTCTTCTCTTCATCCTCCGGCACCTCCACTACCGCTACCACTATCCTCCTCCTCCTCCTCCTCCCTCATCTCTTCGCATCCTCCTTTTGCTCCTGCTCCTCTTCCTCCTCTCAGTTACCGACTGCACCGCGACCCTCGATGACCCTGCAACCGTGCGCCGAGGAATCGAACGGCGAGTCAGAAAACAACTAATCGCTGCCCGATATCCTACGTAAATTGGGATACGGGATTGTGTATATATGTGTGTGTGCGAGTGGGGTATATAAGGCGCGTTCAAAGTGGGAGAGAGAGAGAGGGAGATAAGAAGAACGAGAGATAGAAGGAAAGAAGATAAAAGGGAAGACAGAGAAAGAGGGACATAGAAGAAGAAGAAGAAGAAGAAGAAGAGGAGGAAGCGAGAGTGAGGTACGGCTAGAATCAGAGAGAGAGAGAGAGAGAGAGAGAATCGAGTGTGCGCGCGCGCCTAAAGAGAGTGAGAGAGAGAGAGAAAGAGAAAATTGAAGAGAGGAGAGAGAGAGGGTGAGGAGAAAGGGAGGGAGGGAGGAGTAAGAAAGAGTCGTTGGACTCTCCTCCATTAGCCAAAGAACGGATACGTCGTTGGAAGCGGAATCTAGGAGCGTCTCCGAAACGGCGTACACGAGGTAAGCTTTGAACGGATTGACGTTCGTACTACACTGCAAGCGTCAAATGCGCTTTCTAAAAAAAGATCCCCGTCCGAGTCTCTCAACAGGGAAACCCCCTCTCTCTTCGTCTCTCTCTCTCTTTTTCTCTCTCTTTCTTTCTCTGTCTCTGTTACTTTTCCCCCTCCGGCAGTGCTGCTGCCTGCCTTTTCCATCGCGAGCTCTCCCGTGGAACCATGATCGTGGCGTGGCATGCTAACCGCCGACCCCTGCCGGAAATCGACGAGCGCCGGTCTCCTCCTTCCCCTTCTACTCCACCTCCTCTTCCTCTCTTTTTCTACCCCCCACCCTTTTTTTGTCACAGAAAAAACACGGCGAGAAAGCAGAGAGAAAGAGAGAGAGAGAGAGAACATGAACGTTCCGAAAGCATTCGCTTTCGACATTTTCTTTAACAACGTGATTCTCCTATATTATCGATTACTCATCGTCTAAGGTTTATATTAGATCGTGATTTATGTATCATTTTCTTTTTTAAATTGTTTTTTTTTTTGTTGTTTGGTACACTTGTATCTGATTATTAAATTCCTCCAATGACGATCACGTTTTGTTCATTTTGATTGGTCAATTAGTTCGAACTTGGGCTCGATTAAACACGGCGCGCGTTTCGAATTACATTCGTTCGTTTTAACGAGGTGGAGGACGTAATTGCAGTTACGAAGAGAATTCATCTCCTTTTCGTGCATTCTCAACTGTTTTCACGCCCGATAACTGTGCCGCTCGATTCTTATCTAAGAGAGAAAGAGAGAAAATATTTATTGTAGCTAAAAATCTATCGCGTTTAGAAAACAATTCATTCGTTCAATATTTTTCTTACAGTTAGTCTGAATTATTTTTAATTGAGTTTCCTTTTTATCCGATGATAATTATTAAATATTTGACAAAAAATATTAATATGTGTTATGTAAATATTTTTCGTATAATACGTCACCTAGCAAGTTTCATGTTTGATAGATAATTTGTAATGTTTATAAGATAAACTTTCCTTTCGTGTGATTGTCGTTAAAAAACCTTTTTGTAATCTCTGACCAAAGATATTTCTTTATTATGTGCTTTCGATAAATTCTGATTTCAACGAATCGGGGATATTTGCTATCGTCTATCTGCACTTGCGCATCGAGAACTCGATTAAAAGTTTCATACTTTATCGTTACAAATATTAGTTTGTTATACATTTTTTATTTGTATTCCTCTCTTTTTATGTATTTCTAAAGTATAAGTATATATTTGGATTACCACAAATGAAAACAATAATTTGAACAAAGAAATTGGAACAAACTGTTGTTCTATATTTATAATTGTTGTATTTATTGTTATTACAATATTTCTATGTAGTAAAAATGTTACTTTCACTTTATTTTTGACATATTCAATGTTACCGAATATATATGGAAAATTGAATCAACATTTTTTAAAACCTAAGTGCTGTTGTTAAACCTATTTATAATTCCTATAAATTTGTAAGATGTTTTTTCTCTTTTATCAGTGACCTCATTTAATAATTAATGATACTTCATTATCGTAGAACACCATTTCTTATTAATTTAAAAAATACGTGACATGTATATATATTTGTAATAACAATATTTTTTTGTGTACTCTTGTTATGCGTAAATCAAAAAGAAATTCCTTATGTACCACAATTATTTCTATGTATATAAATCTAATTACATTTTTATCTTTCTATTGTAAATACACTATATTACAATTGTACCAAGTCCAATGTTTTAATATCAATTTTAAATGGAGCATCTCATGTGCGGTTGTAATTAATTGCACTTGTACATCTGCACTTCATTATTAACGATGAGATATGATGTCGTATTACCATTTTCATATATTTTTCAACTCTCAAATCCACTCTGAGAAATGACTAATATCATTTATGATTTATTCCGCTTCGTGTTTTAAAATACTCACTTTTTAACCTTTAACCTCAATATTCTTTTAAAGATCCCTAGCTCTTATATTCGTTGCTTGTACATTGTTACGTCATGGAACATTAATTTGTTAATCCTTGCGGTTTTTAGATGGTGAAATATTTAGTAATA